CAAAAAAATGAGAACTTTTAAATAATTTATTTGATATTAACATTGATATTTTTTTTTTCAAATTTGTATGATATCTTCAAATTTATATTTTATTCAAAAATAAAATCATTATTGTTTTCTTAAAAACACATAAAATCGTATTATAACATCGACAAAGGCAAATAATAAAATAGAACATTAAAATCGAGACGTGTCTCGATGCATTGCGTGAGTACTCTTCTAGTTTGATATAAATTAAAAACTCCTAAACGCAGAGACCACATTTGTATCAAAGATCAATAGGGTTCTCAGTACCCACTATGTTAAATTTGTGCATCCAATGGAAGGATACATAGTATATAGATTGCGTATATATTGATACATTTATACATACACACATATATATACTAGAAGTGTCCTCGCGCAATGCAAAGCGATGCATCTCAATTCTGAAGCTGATAACTTGAACCCTCAATAGTCAATACATATTCATGCTTCGTTCTATTCTCTGTCCGTCTCGTTTTTTTATGGTTTTGTGTGGTTTTCTTGAGAAAACGAGAAAGTCTTCAGTTGGTTATCAGACAAACTTATCTATGTGTGTGTATATATATATATGTATAACCTATGCTGTTACTGCAGTCAAAATACAAAATATCGGTCAGGACCGATATTCAATATTTCGGTTATATTGATGATATATCAGAGATATATCGGTCCAAAATAGCGGTTAATATAATATTTCTTAGAATTATATATATATATATATATATATATATATATATACAAATTATATATGTACGCATCCATAAACATATCATATGCATTAATTAGAGTTTAGAAATATAGTTTCAAAACTAAAACATCACATAAACAAGTCTCACAAAACAAAATAGGAAAACTGTTCAAAAACGAGCTAATCGCAAGCAATAAGCGTGAACTGTGAAAGAACCGAGAAGAGAAGCAGCATGAACTGTGAAGGAACCGAGAAGAGAAGAAGCGTGAGACTTAATATATGTGTTGACTGGTTGACCAAATAAAGAGGCCCAAAAAACTAAGCCCGACATATAATAAAAAAAAAACCCAAACATTTGTATTATAGAAAATCGATATATCGGACCGATTTTTCCATCAAAATATCAGTGAAATATCGGTAAATATCGGCGATATTATCGGAACCGATATTTTGACCGATATGTTTCCAGAGACCAATATCCGATATATCGCGACTTTAACAGCATAGTGTATAACTTGATGATGGAACAATATAAACTATGTTAAATCTTGTCACCTTGGTGCAGAAGAAACAGTTGCCACAAGGCATAATGAACGCACCCACAACACGGGCTCCTACAGGAAGTCTGCAGAATAAACATAGAACCTCATGAGATACATACGAAAGAACGGAATTGTAGACATCTTGCAACTTCTCAAGATTTAGAGAAATAACAAGCACAAACCTTTCAATTGTTTTAGTGTCAGTCAATGGCCCATGTTCAACAACCTCGCCAGTGATCTCATGCCCCACGACACATGGGCTTGGAAATGGGAGTTCACCCTTGATTACATGAAGGTCAGAGTGGCAGACACCACAAGCTGAAACATTAAAGTGTGGTGGTGTCAAAGAGGTATAATTATACAGTAATCAAGAAGTAATTGGAAGAGAATCGACTAAAAACTGGGATTAGGGTATCGTGAATAACCAGATGCGCTGTCATAATGAGGGACTAGAAGTTGTAAGTTGTGACCCAATTACCCTGCATAAAGAGCCTATAAAAATAATTGAAAGTCATTCTATGTATGTCCACAGATATGGATGAGTTATGCACCCTGGTTTATCTCTGTATAAACTAATTCGAAAGCAAATGGAACCCAAATCACTTCTTTTTCCAAACACCACATAACATGACCCCAGAAAACAGAAATGTTGAATGGCTAAAAGGTATAGGACTTTTGAAAAGAAACTCAATTTTGATATTATTTCTGGACATTGTCATCCCACTAGAAAACCAAACCAATAAATCCCACCTGAAACTGGGGTCGGGAAGGGGGAGGGTTGAGATGTAAGTAAACCTGACCTCTACCCTCAAAGAGTAGAGTGGTTGTTTCCATGAAGACCCCCAGCTTGTGAGAAGTGTGCAAAAATGATAGAAAGTTTCCCCAAATAAATAAAGGGAGTAGCAAATGGTGAGGGTTTGGGAAAGGAGAACCAAAAACAAGAAAATGAGGAAGCAGGAATATCGAGTTAGAAGTAAACAACACACAAGCACAAGTAAGTATATGAAAACCTAACCAAGGTAAGAAAAACCACACCCCCAATGGTCTAGCAAAGGGATCTAGTAATCCAATTGTCGGCTCACTAACCCTACCTTCAATCTTCTACCTCTACAACTCCCGTCTATGCTAGCTACAGATATGCTACTACTCTGCTACCCTAATCCTACGTATCCGATAACTCCAATCAGATGTCATGTCCTCAAAAATGCCTAAATCAGCCATGCCTAACCTTAGTTTCTCATCCCATGCCCTCCTCGACCTACCCCTTCTCCTTGCCCTCCTCGACCGTCACACTCTCTATTCTCCTCATTGGAGCTGCCATCCGTCTCCTACGAATGTGAACAAAACACCACAATATTCCCACTCAACTTATCTGTAAAGTGAGCATACTCCAACATCCCACTAAAGACCTCATTCGATATCCTATCTAACTTGGTCCGTCGACAAGTCCATCCAAGCATTCTCTTTTCCGCAACTTCCAACTTCCTCTAATTTTCCTTTTTTGTTGCCCAAAACTCCGACCCATACAACATAGTTTGTCTAATGGCTACACTCTAAAATTTTCCCTTTAGTTTTAGCATAAGCTTTTTGTCACACAGCACCTCTGTGGCATCCATCTACTTTAGCCATCCCGTCTTTATGCAATGCGTTATGTCATCCTTGATTTCGGCTCTTCTGAACCATGGATCCTAGACGCTTGAAGTTGTCCTTTTAGGGTACCCTATGCCCCAGCTGTTGACTTCCAGTTCCACGCCCTCTTCAATACCCTCTCCATTTAAATTGCACCATATGTATTTGATCTTAAGAGTAGCTAATGGGTAGGCCTTAGGAGTGTTCAAAATGACGGACATACGGCATAACCCATCCACACAGACCGACAAAACCTAAATGAACGAACATAAATGAATGTAATTGAACGAGCGAGACCATTGTTAGTTCATTTAATCTAGTTTTTGATTGAAAATCTAGCTGTTAGCTAACTAATCATGGTTGGCAAAAACTAGCCTATAAGATTGTTGACAAATGTAAAATGACCAAAAATGGCATGTGAAAAATTACTCAATTCTAAGATTACATAACTTAATTAAAACAAACAACTAACATATTTCATCACATTAAAATAAGTAATAACCAAAATAAAAAGGTTTACAATTATTTAAGTTTAATGGACATTCCTTACATTCCATCTCATGTGTGCAATATTATTATGAATTTCCTGCATCTCACGGCATGACCCTCATATGTTACCACAACTAAGGGGGTGTTTGGGATTGCTTATTTAAAACAACTTGTACATTTTTGTAGAAGTTCTTATCAACTTATGTGGTGGCAAATCGGAGTTTTATAAAAAGAGTTTTTGGATTAGCTTATGGTGGTACCACACCGGATAAGCTGAAAAAATAGATGAGATACCCTTTTTTTCCATCCAAACACTAAAAAACTCCTTATTACCTCACCACACTGGAATAAGTTAATAAGATAGAAGGGAGTAACTTATCAAAAAACTCCTTATTACCGGTGCCAAACTGGTATAAATATTTCCTTTCTTTTTCCATCTAAACACTAAATACCCCTTATTACCGGTACCACACCGGAATAAGTTAATAAGCACTTTAAATAAGCAATCCCAAACACCCCCTAAAACTTGTCTTACCATCTAATTCTTCCATAGGTACTCATTCACGATGTCGTTGAACAACGTTGAAAATCATATCTTTCACGTCATTCATTAAACTATAGTTAGTCATGAAGAGTGAACGTTGCCCATCATCAATGTCATACAGGTGCCACTATGGCATCATGAACCATCACATGATGATGTTGCCGTACCAATATAACGATCTTGTCGTCGGACTATAGGAAGTCTTAGAAGTATCATGAAATTATATATTTAGAGCGAGAAGACGAAGATTATAAACATAACCCAAATGGTAATAGAACTTCAATTTGATTATTACATATATATGTATATATATATATATATATTATATAGTTGTGAATATTAATTTATAAAGCTACTTTATGGTAATTCTGGTCAAAACAACAAACCAAATTATAAAAGAAGTTAAATGGTATAATAAATTGATGAAATTATAAATAATATGATTTGTTTAAAAAAAGTAAAATATATATATATATATATATATATATAGATAATGTGTTGATTAAATTATGGTTTTTAAAAAGAAATATATTCATTTATCAGTAAATTTTCATAATATAAAGTATCATTAAAAATTTAATAATAATAATTTTTTTACTACTGTAATTAAATAAAGATTATAATTGTTATGTTCTCATATAATAGTATTGTAATATTATGATAATAATGATAATTATTAACAATAATACTGAAATTATAATAATGATTATTATTATTGTAATTATTATAACAATAATTCTAACAAATAATAATAAGTCAACAAAAATGAATGAAAGGTATGGATTTTTAAGAAAGATAGACAAGTGCATAATTGGAATAAAGTAGAAAAAAACTCTTGAAACTTATTGAAACGCTACTTCAAGGCCATGCTTGGCAACCATAAGGTAGCTTATTAAAAAAGCCCAGTTTTGCTTGCACAAGCTAGAAGTAGTGTTTCAATAAGCTCCACGAGCTTTTTTCCGCTTTTTCCATTCATTTTACTGAACTTTTAATATTATTTATTTAAAATTATTATTATCATAACTACAATTATTATTATATTTCAATATTATTTTTAAATTATTACATTACATTCTATTAAAACATAACAATTATAATGTTTAATTAATTACTATCGTAAAAATTAATTATTATTCATTTTCTAATAATACTTTATATTACAAAAACTTACTAAATATAAAGAAATAGATTTCTTTCAAAATATTACTTAATCAACATACATTCTTCTATTTTAAAATAAATCCAATTATATTTATAATTTCATCAACATATTATATTATTTAATTTTCTTTTTATAATTTGCTCTATTTTTTCTCTAGAATTACTATAAAATAGCTTGTAGATAGAAATCAACATCTAACAATTATAACATATATATGTACAATTGTACATATATATAATCAAATTTAAGTTCTATCACCATCTGGTTATAGTCTTCATAGTTTCTCTCCAAACTCCAAATATACAATTTGGCGGTATTCTCCAGGCTTCCTCTAATGGTACGACAACATCTTCAGGTGGTGGTTCATGAACTATAGCGGCACATATAAACAATATCATGATGTGATAATGGCAACATTCACTCTTCCTAAGTACATTTGAAGGAATGACACGACAAATATGATTTCCAACATTGTTCAACAACATCATAATTCATAAATAAGTACCTTATGAAAAAAATTAGACGGGGAGACGAGTTTAGTCATGATCACATGTGAGAGTCATGCCATAAGATGCAAAACAATTCTAATAATATTGCAAATATGATCCAAATGCAAGAAATATCCATTAAACCTAAATAATTGGAAAACTCTTTTTTTAACTACTTATTTTAATACGATGAAAAATGAAATATATTACTGGTTTATCATTTTACATTTGTCAACTAACTTATCAACCAACAACTAGATTATCCTAGTTTGCCAAACGCACCCCAAGTAGTGTGTCAATAAGTTAGTTTATGGCAAAACCAAACGTGGTTTTTTCAATAACCTCAAAAAATAAGCTTTTATGGTTGCCAAAACATGGCCTAAACGAAACACATCACGCCACATATGCAATTTCTTTTGGTTTTTTGACAAAATGTTGGTGCAATGGAAATATTTATAGGTGAAGCATACTTAGAGTATTAATAGTTAAAACTAGAGCAACAATGACCTACTTGTTAAACTTGTGAAACAAAAGTGACTAACATGTGGAAACAGGAACCTCAACTCACTTCAATTCCATTTTCCAAGCTTTGTCAAACCAAACAACCCCAAACACCGGGGAGGTTGTTTCTGTGAAAATCCAAGCGGGCTAGCAGAAAGTTGTGGAAAGTCGAGGGTAAAACAAAAATTTTGTCAAAAATTTTGAAAGGTTTGAAATTTTTCCAAGCTTTGTCAGACACTCCGAGTTCCTTTACATCTTTGACTTTCTATGGTGCATTTGATCAAGAAAATTCAAACTCATTGTTGATATATTCAATAAGTAAATAAAAAATCCACTAATCAAGCCGATTATGACAGTTCTTCCAATCAGAGATATACAATCTGAATCAAGAACTTCTATCAATCATAAATTTCTCTACTTTCTCAAAGATATACATATATAGATGCATAATCATTTACAAACTCGATAATTCGAACAAACTTACAAACCAGTTTTCATGTGTTCATGAAACAATATATGTGAAATTGCGGAGTTGTTTCATATGTGAAAAGTTCATGACAGTCAAAATAACTCCCCTCATTCCAACATTTTCAAACCAAATTAGCTGCATATCAAACTACAATCGACACATGTAGATGATCATGTTGATAACAAAATAATTTAGGTGATACAAGTTTCAAAGAAAATACAAACGCACATATCATTTGTTATGGAGTGAGCATAAATCATAGTTATTATTACAAAAAACACACATATACAGTGAAAATAGAATAAAGAAAACTAAGAACAGTCAACAATAGCCTTCGATAGATCATCAAAATGCTTCTACTCTCATTCCCTAAATTGATGAAATAAACCCCAAATTATGGAGAAATAGCTTGTTTGTATATACCAATTTTGAGCTAAAACAGATATCGGAAGACTATTAATTAAATTAAAAGCAGAAAAGAGGTTGATTTTAGATATGATACCTTTGGTTTTGATAAGAACTTCGTTAACTTTAGGGCGAGGCATTTGAAAATCTTCAAAAGTCATAGGCTTATTTGGTTCCCAGAAAACAGCTCCTCGCATGTACGATGGTCCATTGTTAAGGTGATACGATGAAGTCGAGATTGTTGAAAAATGCGTCGTTTTCGCATCGTCTGAAGAGCAAGAAGAAGAAGAAGATATCACCGATCGTCTCGATTGATTACAGTAAATCGAAGAAAAGGGGGAAGTTGTCGTTGATGATCGAGAGCTGCTGATGAGACTTCGGAGTAATTTGTTGTATCGATTGAAACCCATTTGACTTCTTGAATCTCTTGTGGCTGTTGATCAAAAAAACGAGGAAACGGTAGCAATCGGGCCTGTAAACTAGCAATATAACACATGGGTTATGAGTATCGGGTAGTTGGAAGGAATGATGGATGATTCATCATTATCTGAATCCTACTCTTTTTAATATTTGGCAAAAACCCAATGTTTTCTCGTGACCGGCGGAATGTACGAAGAAATAGGGGACACTATTTACATCGCTATCCATTGCCAAGGTGCTGTTTGTTTTTGGCTTGATGTCGGGTGTTAATGGGTTGGATTGGTCGAGCCAAAAACATTTGAACAACTCAACTTAATAATTATGGTTTGAAAAATCTAACTCATCCCAATCTAAACTAAAATACAATCCAACCCAACTAAACTGTACGGGTTGGTCGGATTGATACTTTGGTACATTAAAATATTTTTTTAATCTTAAATATGTTATTTTTCTACTCATAATTTATTTTCATTATCAACCATTTGATACAACTTATCCATATTTCTTACGTATATCACATTCAATTAATTTTCTCAATTTATATATATATAATATGAATAGATTGAAAATATGTGTATATAAAGAACGTACGTAATAGTATAATTGTCTAATGTATATATTAATAGAAATTCAACGATCATATAATTAGTTTTAAAATATAATGAGTTTGTAATATAATTTGTAAAATATAATATAATAAAATTGTCTTATGTTTTTAGATATTTGAACAAATTGTGCATTTTTTTACTATAACAATTAATCAATTATTTTATTATTAAAATCATAACTAAAAAAGACCCCAAAAAAAAGAAAACTATAGAAGTGTTATGGAAGAGAAATAGTAAAGGAATGGTGAAGAAGTGTTGTAAGAGAGAGGGAGCTGAATGCATTTTGTAAACTTTGTTTTTTTTAAGATGAAGTTTGAGTTGCATCACTTTAGTTTTATAAAATTTAAGAGAACACATTTAAATTTTATAGAAGAAGACCCTAAAATTTCATAAATTTCAATGTGTGAGAATGGTTCGAGCTTGATTCGAGTTGGAGTTTGAGCTTGATTTGAGCTTCAAACGAGTACGAGTTTAAAAAATTTCAATCGAGTTCGAGTCGAGTGTAGTTTTTAACTACTAGCAAATTTTCGAGTTGAAATTCGAGGTTGAGGAATTACTATCGAGTTTGAGTCGAGTATATTGATACTCGAGCTCGACTCGCATCATTTACACCCTACTCAACCCTCACCCCTCATCCCCGCCTCAAGGACTTTTCTTCTTCTTGAAAATGACAAAAAGATCATGAGTTAACCAACCTTTTAACGGGGTTAATTTAGGGATCAAAAGTGAAACAAAATGATAACCACAATGATCAAAACTATAATTAGTTCAAAATATAGATTAGTTGACCCTGATGGCAACCATAGGGACTAAAAGTGTAATTTACTCTAAAAGTAAAGTCTATTCTCATCCCAAAATAAATTCATTACTTACGTTTTTCATCCCTAAACTTCATTTAATCAACTCTCGTCATGTTTGTTCATTTGCAACAGATTTCGTCACTTGGTCTAGACTGTTAAATTTTTTTGTTGGATATTTTGGTGATTTTACTTTACTCTTGAATTTTCCATTAAAAATTAGAATATTATATTAAATACATATATAGCATATTTTATATATAGATATACAAATAATGTGTATATAATATATATATATATATATATATATAATTAAAAGATCGTGTGAGAATGAGAGTTAAGATGAAAAATATAACAAGAGATCTGGACCCTTGGTCACATTTAATCTCAAACTCACCGATAAATCGTGTTTGATACGAGAATTGATCTGGTGCATCTCAATGCATCTCATCATAATGTGCATCTAAGGATTGAAATCTCTTCTTACGTTTCTCACATTTACTCTCCTTCTCATCAAAACTCGACCCTTATATATATATATATATATATATATATATATATATATATATA